TTTACGTTTACCCGACCCCCCTCCCCTAACCCCCCCCCCCCCAACTAAAAAAAAATTTAAATATATATTTCAATTTTAATTTTATTATTTATTGGTTTAAAGGCTCACAATTTTACAAGTTCCAAAATTATGAGTTCGCAGGTTTATGTGTTTAGAAGTTTACGGGTTTAGAAATTATAAAGTTTACGGGTTCGAAATTCTGCAGTTTTGAAAGTTTAGCGGTTCGAAAGTTTATGAAATTTGTGGGTCCGGAAGGTTGTTTGTTTGAAAGTTTATGGCTTCATGTTTACTATATTTAAATTACTTATGAATACTCTTGAGAAGTCATTTTCCTTAATTTGCGTACCAAACACCGGAAAATGAATAAGATTACTACTTGTTTTTCAAGAAAATATTTTCTTGGAAAACATTTTCCGTTATACCAAACACACCCATTATCCTACAGCTTTCAAAATTCCAAAATCAAGTTCAACATCTCAAGATTTATCTAACTTGGAAGAAATAGCTAATGAGTCGGAACAACATCAACAAAGTGAAAGAGTTAATTTAGGCTCTTTAGAGGTTGATCCTGGGGAAAGATTAGCAATTGGAAAATATCATCCAAATGATCGTGATGCAATACGAAGAACATATCTTCAAAGAGGTGCTTTTCAACCTTGAGAGCACAAATTTCCTCAAAGAAATTTTTATGGCAAATTGCGTCGCTTTAATCATCAATGGTTTTCTGAGTATGATTGGTTGGAGTATAGCGTAACAAAAGATGCAGCTTTTTGCTTCTATTGTTATTTGTTTCAAGATGAATGCATCAATCAAGAGGGAGGAGATGTATTTTCAAGTATAGGATTTACAAGTTGGAACAAGAAGGATATATTTGATATGCATATTAGTGCCAAATAGTATTCATAATCAGTCAAGAAAGAAAAGTGAAGATTTGATGAGACAAAAACAATCCATTCAAAGTGTACTTGCTAAACAATCTGATCAACAAAAGCTAGAATATCGGATTCCTTTAGAGGCCGCGGTTGATGTGATAAGATATCTTTTACACCAAGGATTATCATTTCGAGGGCATCGTGAAGATGAATTATCTCTCAATAGAGGTAACTATATTGAACTTCTTAGATGGTATACTAAAAGATGTGATCATGTTGCCGATGCATTTAAAAAAGCTCCAAAGAATAATCAATTGACTTCTTCATACATTCAAAAGGATATTATTACTGCATGTAAGATGGAAACAATTAAATGTATCATTGAGGATTTAAATAATGATCACTTTTCTATATTAGTTGATGAATCTCGTGATGTGTCATGTAAGGAGAAAATGGCTATTGTTTTGCGGTATGTTGATAGAAGGGGAAGTGTGATGGAGCGATTTATTGGTATTGTTCATGTTCGTGGAACTACTGCTTTTCTCTAAAGAATGAAATTGTTGGTTTACTTGCTCAACATTCTTTAAGTCCATCCTCCATACGTGGACAGTGTTATGATGGAGCAAGCAATATCCAAGGTGATATAAATGGGCTTAAAATCTTGATGCAAAAAGAAAGTAAAGGTGCTCATTCTATTCATTGTTTTGCTCATCAACTTAAACTAACTCTTGTTGCGGTTTCTAAAAGATGTGATGAAGTGCAAGAACTTTTATTAGTTGTTTTTGATATGTTAAATATGGTGGGATCTTCTTTCAAGCGTAGAGATGAACTTCGTGAATCTCAAGCAGAAGAAATTGAAGAAGCATTACGTAAAGGTGAGCTTGAAACTGGAAGGAGCTTAAATCAAGAATTAGGTCTTGCTAGAGCTGATGATACTCGATGAGGCTCTCACTACAAATACTTTAATAATTTTATTCTTATGTTTGGCCCTATCATTGATGTACTTGATGATATTGTTGTTAATGCACGTTTTGAAGAAAAGTGTAAGGCGAAGGGATACCTTAAAGCATGTTTAACATTTGAAGTTTTCTTCATGTTGTATTTTATGCGCACTATTTTAGCAATCACAAATGAGCTTAATGTTGCCTTTCAAAAGAAGGAGCAAGATATTGCAAATGCTATGATACTTGTTAGAGTGGCAAAAGATCAGTTGCAACATCTAAGAGAGGATGGTTGGACTTCACTTATTGATGAGGTATCTAAGTTTTGCATCAAATATGACATATTGATACCTAACTTTGATGAGCCTTATGTTATCCTTGGAAGATCACGTCGTAGAGTTGCAGAGTACAATAATTTACATCACTACCATGTTGTAGTATTCTGTAAAACTATTGATTGGCAATTTCAAGAACTCAATAACCGCTTTGATAAGGTGACAACTGAATTGCTTCTTGGAGTTGCTTGCTTGAACCCAGTTAACTCCTTTTCAAGCTTTGACATTGAAAATATATTGAGATTAGCTAAGCTATATCCTGAAGATTTTGATAAATACTCTACAGTTGACCTTCGTTTTCAACTTGAGAATTACATTGTGGATGTCAGAGATCATGACAAAAGGTTTTCCGATCTTAAGGGACTTGGCGATCTTTCTAAGAAACTAGTAGAAACAAAGAAGCATGGGACTTATCCTCTTGTGTTCCGGCTAGTGAAGTTTGCTTTACTTTTTCCAGTTGCTACAGCTACGGTTGAAGGAGCTTTCTCAGCAATGAAGTTGATTAAGTCTGACTTACGAAATCGAATGGATGATGAGCTTTTGAGTGGTTGTTTAGTGCCTTATATAGAAAAAGAAGTATTTAGTAATATTTCTAATGAGGCTATTATGAATACATTTCAAAACATGAAAACTTGTCGAGGAGAATTGTAGTAGTGTACTTGAATTGTGTTTCGTTATTATACTTTAAGTTGTCTTTTTATAATATGATATATATATATATATATATATATATATATATATATATATATATATATATATATAACAATATTTTATTCAATTGTTCACTCTTTTAAATAGTGACACCGCTTATATAAATCCTGCGTACGCCATTGACGAAAGGTGATACGCAACACAGATATTTGTGCCTTCTCTTGTATTTGAGAATCTTACCTCTTCTTACGTGTGTTTTTTATGTTTCAGTCTGAAAGTGACAACAACAACAAAAAGGAAAAATTTAAGCAAAAAAAAAGGGAAGTGTTTACCTCGAAATACGAGTAGCAATTAAATTTGATTTGTGGTTTTAAAGATATGTGATTAAATTCAATACCAATTAATAATCAAGAAATATGAAGTAGAAATGAAAAAAATAAGTGAAGCAAACCAATGTTACTCAGCAATGGTGACCTCGAGCTTAGTGTCCTCGAGATGAACTAAAAGCAATAAAGTAGGAACAATAAATATAAAGGACAATTCTGATGAGCAGTAGGAGAGAAAAGTAGGATAGTATATTCTTGCCAATGATGAGATGATGTTACAAATGATTGGGGGTCCCCTTTATATAATAGGGGAACCCTAAATAAGGTATATTTCTATTTACAGTAAGGAATATTCTTGATACAGCTGTCTAACTACCTAGTACGGAATCGTACAATCCTATTCCGGGATTTACGCCATGATCTTGGGGACGTGGCAGGAATCTAGCTCATTCTGTTATAAATCCATAACGGTGCAATTTCGGGGTTGAGCATGTTTGACTTTGGTATTTCTCGCACTCCTATCTTCGAGCATTGCATTCCATCCTCGAGCTCGAGTCTAGTCTGTCGACCTCAAACTCTAGCTTACTTGAACTTGGACCTAAGGCGATCCCTCGAGCCTGGGAAATTGGTCGTGCCTGATTTCGACCGCATATAGATAGTCCCCGCGTTTCTTAGAGCAAGGCGATAAGAAACGATTTGAACCTCGATTCTCCGGAGTCTCTAATGATGATGTCATTCTCATGACGTGAGCGCTTGAAGTGACCAAAACGTCTCGTCGGTTCACTTTCCCAAAACATTAAATGCATGCCAGTAATGGTCGGCTACTCGTCTTCCCCAATACGCTTGAGTGACTTCTATAAGTAGGCCAACTTCTCAATTTTACAAACTTTACTTCTCAGATTGTTTTCAAAATCTCATTAGCTTCTTCAATTTCTCTGAGTTCTCCCTTATCTTCAATTCGCCCTTACTTCACCATCAACTTTTTCTCTTTTCTTGAACTTTTACACCATAATGGCTAAAACATCTAAATCCGTTCCACAAAAAGAAAAGGCCTCTTCATCATTGCGGCCGGCCAGAAGTAAAACGGTGGTTCCACCCTGTATCGAGGAATGCATTCCCCCACCGTGTGAAATGACATCCGATTTCAAAGTTGAAAAACCTGTATCGACACCAGGCCGGTGCGAGCCCATATCTCGATACATCTGTTTGATAACCAAAGATGAGCTTGAGCAAGTAAAGAAGGACTGCAACTAAGATAACAAAGATGTGGCGATTCCCTCCCCAGAAGAGGACATCACTACCCATAAAGCGGGGTACTTAAGCGTTTATATCTAACTATTCACGGTGGGCCCTGCAAATCTAGCCCTGGGTCCCATAAACCCAATTATCCTTGATTTTTTCCAACAATACCAAGTGACGCTTGGCCAGATCTACCCTTCATTCTGGCGAATTGTTCATTTGATCAGATTCTTCTCGAGCCAGGTCGAAGGGATGCCTTTCACCCTCGACCATTTGATCATGCTGTACAACCCTTGCCTTTATCGAGGTCGCTTGATAAAACTGCAACGCCGATCCTTGAAATCTCTCTTCTCCAGCATCGATGAGGACAACGATTGAGGATGGATGAGCCGATTTATCCGAGTTAGGACCTCTGACCTGATTCCTGCTGAGAGGATGCCATTCCCCGAGGAATGGAACATGAAACGTAAGTACATAGTAACATTATGCCCTGCTTCCTCTTCTCTTTCTCGACTTCATCTTTTTCTCAATATGACCCCTTTCCAATGGTGCAGCTATTTCTTGGTTTCCTAGTGCCGTCGAAAACTGGCCTCCACCTCCTCATACGCGGAGCGCTGCTGCCGCAATCTGGCTAAGGGCCGATGGGAGGCCAAAAATCACGGTGAGTTTTCTCTTTTCTTTACATGTGTTTCTCAGTGAAATACTTACTTCGTCTTTATGCAGGCCTCGGAGATGTCGTTGCTATGCGGCCGCCCCCGCCTGGTGAAGAAGAGATCCCAAAGCTTTCCAAAGAAAAGAAAAGAAATAGGGGGTCGCCTGCAAATCCCTTGAAGCCCAAGAAAAGCACAGCTCGAAAGCCTAAGTCCGATACTGTGGCCTTATCTCCAGAAATGGCCCAACACCTTCGGGACCAGGAAGAAGAAGAAGAAGATGACGACTGCCTATTGATGGTTCAAAAAAGAGGAAGCATTGACGCTTCGAAGTCTGCCAAATTGATGGCGGCTGATGTGGCTCATTCTAGAGCTGAAGAAATCTCCGAGGGGAGCTCGAGAAAAGTCCCCGAGCTATCGGGCAGCAAAAAGGCACCTCGTCTTGGAGGTCATTCGGAGGTTGAGGCCGAGGGGCCCAATCTCGAGGCCCTTAAAATAGAAGAGAATGCCCTGAGTGGTTCGCTAGGGGCAATCAACGTGGAAGAGTTGCCGCCTGGTCCTGAGTTCTCCGAGGGGCAAATCCGAGATGCTCGGAACATGAAAACTTCTGATGTTGGGACGAGCCACGAAGGGCATGATATCTTTCGAGAATGCCTTGCAGGGATCGAAGATGGCCCCGACCCAAATGCTTCTTTTATTTTCGAGGAGGCCCGTTGGCTCTTCAAACAAGTAAGTTTCTTTCCTCTAAAATTTCCCTTGTGCTTTATCCTCTCTTTCTGAGTTTGACCTATCCCTTTTTGTGAAGGTCGTTGTGCTCCATAAGAAGTATTCTCCAAATATCGAGCTAAGCTTGCTCGATGTGAGGCCAAGCTTAAGAAAATCTCGGAAGAGGGGGACGGTCTTAAAACCCTCTATGTCAAGAAAGAGGAGGAGATCAGCGGTCTTCGAGCCGAACTGGCAAAGGCTCGTCAAGAACAAACCGAGCTTACCGAAAAGGTAATATACCCTTGTTGATACCCAATTTTTTCCAAAAATTATTTTAAAATTGCATATATACCTTCAAAATCGTGCATTAATAGCAATTGGTATTTTTCATAATTTTTCTATATTTTTATTAATTTACCTAGCATTTTATTTCCAATAAATAGTCACAAATTGCATTACAAATGATTTCAAAAGCATTTCATGATTTGTTTATTATTTATGGTCCTATTTAAACTAAATTATTTCATAATTAGCCAAATTAGCATAGTTTGGCTACAATTGCAATAACTTTGCAATAATAGCCCAAGCATATGATTTTATACTATTTTGACCAGAAATTAATCGTTTGTATTTTTAAATACTAAATAATTATTTTAAAATTACTTTCTATGCATGAAATTCATTTTTGTGATTATTAGCTATTTTTACAAGTTATTTAATCAATTCAAATTGGGTATTTAACAAATAGCCCATACTATTTCAATTTTAGCCTAATTTAATCAAACCCCAACCCAATTAAAACAGCCCAAACCCCAGGCCTAATCCATCAAAATTTCCCGACCCAATCCCTGGTCCAATCTGGACCGTTGATCAATTCAAATCAACGGTCCAGATCCTCCTTACCATAATTAACCTAATAGTCTACCCCCCCAAACCCTCATTCTCTCATCACTCTCCGCCGTTACATCTCTCACTCTCTCAAGACTCTCTCTGCTAAACCATGGCTCCTCTCACCGGCCGTTGACTCGCTGGTAACTATGGTGATCTCACCACCATCACAGCCCCATGGCTCCTTCCTACGTCGGGTTACTGCTGCCTTGAGGTCCTCAAAGGAACCAGAGGCGGTTCAACTCACCCCCATGGTTTTTCATGTCAATCTCAGGCCAATCTTGGCCTGTCCGAGTAAGATCCTGCCATCTCCGGCTAAAACCTGTGATTTTTGAGCCGATTATCTCTCTTTGGGTTCTCTCTCTAAAACCCTGATTTTGAATCTTGATTTCTAAGATCTGTAACAAGATCTGAGTCTATTCGAGTTATCTTTAATGTTTTCTTAAGAATTTCTTCTAAAACGACTCTTCGTCTTCAAATTAGGGTTTCTTGACCCCTTTTAAAAAACGGCTTTTCCTTCTGATTCTAGCATTTTTTCTATGATTTTCACTATGTTTAAACGTTTATTCAAGCTTTCTCCTTTTATCTGAGTTATTATGTCGAAAACCCTAAATTTCCTAGTTCTAATCCTGGGTTTCTCAACCTGTTTTTGATAATATGTTCAACTAATCTGTATGTTTCTCATGAACACTCTATGATTCTGTGATCTTTATCCTATGTTTGCTTGTTAGGTTTTTTGACTTCGACTATTCCCGCCTATTATGTGTTTATTCCCTAAAAATTTGTGGTTATTTCCTCTCATCAGTATCATCCCTTACTTTGAATCCCGGATTTATGTGATTCTTTCACCCTATTCTTGTTTGTGTTGTGTTGCTTCGTTCAGTTCTGATACTTTCCTTTGGTCAGTGTTACCTTCTAATGGAATCCCTGATTCCCTGTGATTGGTATACTCTGTTCCCTACTGATTTCAACCTCTAAATATTTTTCTTGCCTTATTTTGTGGTTGATTATGCTATCAAATTGATTCTTAGACATTTTCCTTAATTAGAATTTGTTGAACCTAGCCTCTATTACCTGTACTACGCTTATTTCCTTATGTGTCGTATTCAGACTTACATGATTTCATTCCTTATTTGTCATTGCTTATTACCGTTTGAATTTTTGACTCATTGATTGAGGGAAGTACCTACGC